TATATTATTTGTGTTGCTGTTTTGAGCTAAACTTTTTGCATCTTTGTTTGTTTTTATGGGCCATTTAAACATGGAGCCTATAGGCATATATGCATTTAATTTAAATAATACTTTGTTGTTGGCCGCAAACGATTAAAGAAATTAGTTACTTTTAACTCTCATAAATAGTCAAAGATGGTGACTAATCTTAAATTAGTCAAATTTTAACTATTTACGTAGTAAAAAATAACTATTTAAAAGTGAACACGGCTATTTTATTTTTATTATTTCATTTTAAGAGATCTTCTTTGAAAATTAAATCAAATTTGAGCTACAATAGAGTGTGGCCTGCTAGGTCCCCAGACCTAACTCTATTTGTTCATTTGAAGTATATACTTAATATTATTTAAAGAATAATTGACGAAATTCACAATGTTCAAGAAGTGCAAAATGTGAAACAAGAATTCAAAAATCGTTTACTTTAAGTACTTTAGGTAATCGTTTTAATGCCCATTTTAAATTTTTAATTTTAAGCCATTTTTCTCAAAAATTTTCGTATGTAACATAATGATATTAATAGGTATCTTTAAAATTCTGTTTGTTGGGGGCTCTTTATTTAAAAAAAAATAGTTGGCTATGTCACCATAAAATTTAAAATAAACTACAAAACAAGTTTAATAAAAATTATTTTTTAATATTGTCGACATTTCACTCATTATTCCACACTTTTGAGCTACCTTGTATAAAGTTTATTACCCAATTGAAGCAATTGTGCATCATTGAAATAGAACAGTAAATATTATTGTGCATAAAAATCAATTTTCATTGCATTTGTTTGGTTTTATGTAATACGAATATTTTTTAATTAGAGACGTCACATTTGCGCAATTTTTTTTAATTGACGTTATTAATAAATAACACAAATTAAATTTTATATCGAATGTTGTGTTACACGTTTCATAATACTTTTATTATTGTTTTTTAAAATTTAATTTCTTTACGCACGGTAGGGAATAGTTATTTGTTTTACAAGTGTTGAAAAGCAACTTTTTCATGCGAGTGTTTAAGTCGCTCACGAGGCCATTGAAACAACACATTTTTTACTATATTCAAATACAAAACAGCTGTTAAAAATTTTAACTTAAAATTACTTTCATCTTATTCTTTTAATTTTTAAGGTACAAGTTACTTAAAATCAATAAACTTATAAGGAATACCTTCTCAATTTAAATAAAGTTAGTAAATTTGGAATTTATTATACAAACACAATTAATTGTGTTCTGAATGATGTTTAGATATACATATACAAATACAATACAAATTTTGAAACGAATGTCAAACGATGCTGTCAATTTCTTTTCACACAGAAATGTCACTTTACATTCGTGTTTTGCCTTGCCAATGAAAAAAAACATTTTCTTAGCAACGATGCCATTACGAAATGTGACTTTTACATAGTGGTCGTAGAAAACAACAACATTAACAATTATTGTCTTCTTCTTCTTCTTTTTCATTGTTCCACTAGTGGTACAATAATTTCATTGTTCAACTAGTGCAACAATAGCTTACTTTGTCGATTGTTTTCGAAAACAATCGACAAAGTAAGCTTCAAGTATTACGTAACGCAATTTTTGGAGATTTTTTGGAGATTTTTAAACCCCCTTCCCCCCATGTAACGCGCCGTAACGTTTTTCTGTACCCTCCCTAGTAAAACGTTACGTAACCACCAAGTGACTATTTTTACCTAAAAATCACAATTAAGTGGCGTAAAGTACCGGAAAAATAATAATGTTACGTAACGCGTAGTTCAAACTATCCCTCCCGCCCCTGTAACGCATCGACGTTTTACCCTGCATATATTTTTAATAAAATACTTTAACTAACAATTTAATATATCAACAATATTTTAGTAAAAAAGAGCAACGTGTAATGTAAGAATGGGGGACACTTGAAACATTTAGTAATAAATTGGTAGTAAAAATTGTTAATAAATATTTCATAAAATAAATGTTATATTTTATTGTCTGTAATTAGCTATAGCACTATAGTGCTTTATCTAGTTGACATCCTACAGTCTTTTTCAAAATTGGCAAATACTGTTTGTATAACTTTTAAATTTTTAAAATGTTTGGCTTGGCAATGTTTTTTATAAGTCACTGACTGCTATTTTTTATCAGTAATATTGTTTATAAAACACTTAATTAGTCAACAAATTGTTTATAACAACCTGAAAAATTGATATTATAATATGTAAAATTTCAAAACGATATCTTTTTCCGTTCCCCAGAAACTTGTAATGGACCAAGAATGTAAAAAACCCTGTATACCAATGATCTTTGGTTGGAGTATTTGACTAAAAACAATATTTATAAATTTAAATGTTTTTTAACCTTTTTAATTTCCGGAAATATTAACAACAAATATGTTTGTTTTAATCATTATTTTTAGTATTACTTGAAGCCAATCAAGAAATAAATTTAAAAATAGCAATTTTAAGATTTTATTTATAATTTTAGTCATAAATAACTTTTATTATCTAGTCACTAACTATTAATGCTTTATTTCATAACGAATAAAAAGATATAAAAAGGCTAAAAAACCTTATCAAAATCATAAGACGCATATCTAAGAAACTTTGAAACATATTGAAATAAAAGGTCACTTAAGATCAGACAATATAAAAGTATCAAACATTGTATCTTAACCGAAAGAATAAATTAAAAAAAAAGACTGTAAAATTTTTGTCTTCAGGATTTAAGAATAACCTTTTTTAAGTATAAGGGTTAGCAAAATTAAAGATAATAAAGTTGTTGGGGTTATTTTAAGAATAGCGCATCCAATTAATTTTTTTTATTAATCTTCATTCCACTTTAATAAATCAAAATGAACATAAACAAACATTAATTGAAAAGGATAGATAACGCATGATGATCGTCTATATAAAGACGGCCTGGAGAAAATATAATTTCAGTTGTTCGAGTTAAAATGCGCATAGCCTATCTGACTACGGGACATAAATTCGATTTGACTTCAGTTTGTCACTTGCTATGGACCATAGAGCTTAAATTGGCCATAGTATTTCCATTGTACCTACAAGTAGAATCCAAGTATTTTTAAGGGACTGGAAAATTTAGGAAATTCGTGATTTTTGTATTTTGAAAAATAGTGAAAATTGTTGTGATAGTTGATCTGTGATAGAAATCTAAACGCCAAAGAAGTAGTAGGTATTTTTGTACAATTTAGCTTTCTCTCTAAAAATGAATTATATATAATTTAATAGTTATAAGTGGCTGCTTTTTCACTTGTACTCCTGATAGCACACTTTATTCTAAGAATGTTTTTTAAACCTTCCAGTGAGAATATTCTTAGGATCATGCTATATTTCTTCTAAAGAACATGCTTAAAAGCCATATAGCATGATCCTAAGAATATTCTTACTGGCCTATAGACAGGTTCTTAGAAGGTGCAAAGTTTTAGTGGTAAAAATTAGTCTACTCTAAACATATGCTTAGAATGTTATAAGAAAGTAATTGCTATAGAAAGTTAACTTAGGAATATTCCTGTTAAGCATATTTAGTTCAGTTACCTATACCATAAACTACGTATAAAGGTATATACTTATACTTAAGTACCTAATTAGTAATTAGTATTAAAATACCAAGTAAAAAACACAATCCAAAATATTTTTTTATAGTTATTTGTCAAATTAAAACAATATTCGATAACAAAAATACTTTCACTATAGGTATTTTATTTTATGTTAAAAATAAATATTTATCAATTCTGTGGGTAAAAGGCATAAGGGGATAAGTCAAAACAATCAATTTTTTAGTAGTGCCTTAAACGTGTTTGCATTAATTTAGGAAATACATTTATGGTTAGCGGGTATATCCTTTTGCCAGCACATGTCATATGCTAGCAAAAGGGTATGCTCGCTAACCATAAATATATTTCCTGAATTAATGCGAACACGTTTAAATCTCTACCGAAAAATTGCTTTTTTTGACTTATTCCCTTATGCCTTTTACCCACAGAATTTGTATACCGATTTTTTATTTCTGAATTAACATTTTTGTGTATAATAATCCTAACTATCTTCAACTTCAATCTAATCTGACTTAGCCAACAAAATTTGCCAATTTTACTTTTTATGAAATAATGTCGTACAACTTATGGTTTAGAGGTCAAATTGTTTATTTAATATTTTTAAATAAATATATATTAATATGTCGCAAAATTTTTTAAGGGGATGACAAATACATTTCACTGTCATATTATGACAGTGAGGCGTATTTGTCGTCTCCTGAAGAATTTTACGAATGTAGAATACAACATATTAGAACGTGGGTATCTGACATATTTGGAAATATTCTCAAAAGCTTCCTAAGAAACCTTCTAAGAACATTCCAAAAACGTATTCTTAAAATGTTCTTAGGATGCTTTTTAGGAAGGTTTTAAGAAGCTTTTAAGAATCTAATTGTATCATTAAAAGGGTATCTATTGAATGTTTTAAAAGTCTCTAAGAACCTTCTTAGCAATAAGGGAAGGTTCTAGGAATATTTCATTATTCCGGGTCATATCTTCTTAGAAGATTCTTAAAATCAAATTTTGCTATCAGGGACCATGGTTAACCATGGAATACCATGGTATCCCAAGATTTAAGAGCCAATTCTTATGTAAAATTGTCCTCTGAATCCGAAAAACTGTTTTCCAACTTTTGACGACATATTCTGTTTCAGGGGACAATTTTACATAAGAATTGGCTGTTAAATTTTGGGATACCATTTGTATTCCATGGTTAACCATGGTACAAGTGAAAAAGCAGCCACTACTAACTATTAAATTAGTCATTTTTGACTCATTCATTTTTAGAGAGTTTAGATCGGGTTTTTTTATGTTATGTATGTTAAAAACTGCTTGAAGAAAACTATGATCACTTTTGATCACATTCAGCAAATTGCAGTTGACCAAGTCACAATGCAATGTTTTACTAATAATTTTCTTTTTTTTTTTTGTTGCAGTGAATATCCCTGAAACAGTCCATAACTCAAGCAAAATGATTCTGCACGCTTTGAGGGTATACTGGAAATCACTTTTTGTATTAATATACCCATTCGCCTTGTTGCCAGTTTTCATATTTGACAATGTGGCATCGTTGAGGTAACATTTTTTTCTTCAGCAAAAACAAAAAATAATGTGTTCTATATTTTGCAGATGTCTATATGTGGTACTTCTGATGGCGGGCTATTGGGTTCTTGAAGCTCTACCATTACCCGTCACATCTTTAATACCCATGGTACTATTTCCTTTGATGGGGGTGCTGGATTCAGACAAGGTCTCGCTATGTTATCTTAAGGAAACCAACATGATGTTCGTTGGTGGTCTAGTGATAGCGATAGCTGTGGAACATTGCAATCTCCATACAAGAGTGGCTTTATACGCAATCAAATTTGTAAGTATTAGGTCACGGTCTTGTTTAAGTAGACAAGCTAGAATGACGACGGTCTAATAACAAATGAGCAAAAATGATGATACAGCCACCCAAGTAACACATGTGACTCTTGGCTTTTACCAAAATTTTATATCAAAGCTTTATCACACTCTTTGAAAAGATGTTTGGGTTTATGAGAGTTATCACAAAGGTTAATTGTTCTTAGAACCATATTACATTAACACAAAGTTTTGTTAGACACAACAAAACCTACTTTTACCACCATAACGCATATTACGCTTGTAAGTTTTAACTTTGCTTTATTATGGGTTGTCATTTATACCCTTATAAAACCGATGAGACCCGTATTTTTTCTTTTTGCTTAAATTTGTTTTATCACCCGTAGGAAATTTTTTTTATTAAAAATGCGATAACTTGTATAAAAATGTTTAGATCGTAACAATTTTATAAATTGTTGGAAAATGTTTACTACATACCAAAATAATTAAGTAAATTCACTAAATTTTTATTTAATTGTTTTTCTAAAAAGGCAAAAAAATTGAGGTCAAAATTCTGACATTGGCACATTTTTTTTACTTCATATTTAATAATAGTTGGCTAAATTCGTCGTTTCGGAATTATTATTTTTTTATTGAAAATGCCATTTTCTAGTAAATTTGTGGTTTATCGCAAAAATTTGGTATTTTATTTAGGGTCATGAAACTGGGGTGACATATTTAACATATTTTTGTCACTTCCGGTTTCACCGGAAATGGTATTAACTTTTTATATTTTAATGAAACACCCTATGTCTTTTTACATATTTCGTTTCAAAATAAAATTCTGAATACATACATATACAGTGTGTCCCGCTTAAGACCTTACCACCCTCGTAAAATTTGCATTTTTTAACCGATTTTCGTAAACTTTTTTTTGTTGGATAGATCTCTGAAAAAGGCTTTAATCACATATGTCACTTGTTTTGACGACTAAACTCATGGCCAACTATGATCTCTTTTTGGGGTCGAAATTTCGAAAAGTACTATTAGGGATTTTTTCAGAGAAAAAGTGACCACGGATTATTGTTCGGGGCCACTTATAACCCCACTATATCAATTTTTACCGTTCTTAAATACAGGGTGTTCCAGATGGACGTTTTTTAATTTCTCGTAAAATTTGAATTTTTCAACTGATTTTCTTAAACTTTTTTTGTTGAAAAAGGCTTATTCGGGACCACTTAAAACCCCACTACACCAATTTTTATCGCTTTTAGATACAGGGTGATCCAGCTGGACATGTTTTAATTTTTTGATAAAACCCTCGTAAAATTTGCATTTTTCAACGGATTTTCTTTAACTTTTTTTTGTTGAAAATGGATTATTCGGGACCACTTAAAACCCCACTAAACCAATTTTTATCGCTATTATATACAGGGTGTTCCAGCTGGGCATGTTTTAATTTTTTGATAAAACCCTCGTAAAATTTGCATTTTTCAACTGATTTTCTTAAACTTTTTTATTGAAAAAGGCTTATTCGGGACCACATAAAACCCCACTATACCAATTTTTATCGCTATTAGATACAGGGTGTTCCAGCTGGACATGTTTTAATTTTTTGATAAAACCCTCGTAAAATTTGCATTTTTCAACCGATTTTCTTTAACTTTTTTTGTTGGATAGTTCCCTGAAAAAGGCTTTAAATGCATATGTTTTGGCGACGTAGAGATACGTAATGAAACACTTTCCGTCTCGTATTGTAATGTACTATTAATTAAAATCCGAATGGCAAAATTATCATTTAACCATCTACTTATGCACAATAAATTCTATTAATTAAGCAAAGTATACTATGGAAACAAAAAATTGACAAGTAATCAACAACTACTGTCACTGTCTGATTTACTTGCATTGCAGTGCTTAACATAAGTAATATGGCTTATTCTTTACAAGAAAAAGTGGAAATTGTACGATTAGTAGGCCTATAGGCGACCGAATGCGTAGTTATAGGAGAATTAATTTATTTTTTAACGAACACGGAAATGTAAACAAACTCTCCAATCAGCATCGTAACCGTGAGGTTCCAGCAAATCAAATAATTCTTGATTATTTTAATGAGAATCCTCGCTCAAGCATTAGAGGGGCAAGTAGAGTTTTAAATATAGGAAAAAACACTATCTGGAAATGCTTGAAAAAAAAATGGTAAGAAACCCTTTAAGCCAAAATTTCTCCATACACTCGAAGCTGGCGACCCTGAAAGAAGAATGTAATTCTGTTTATGGTTGCAAGGTATGTATTTAGAAAATACTACATTCCTACATTCCAAAAATATTTTATACACCGATGAAGCTACATTTACAACAAACGGTATTGTATCGTCACAAAATACCAGAATGTGGAGTGAGGAAAATCCAAACTGGGTGATAGAAGGCAATACTCCTCTTGGTGTGGAATATTGAACGAAAGATTAATTGGACCTTTCTTTTTTGATGGAAATTTGAACAGAGCTAATTTTCTTAGATTTCTGCAGAATGAAATAAATAATGAAACCGATGAACTGCCCCTTAATGTTTGCCTCAATTTACATCTGCAGCTGGACGGGGCACACATCCATAACTATGTTGAAGTGAGGATAGCCCTGTAATTAATTGGCCGCCTAGGTCTCCAGACCTCACCCCACTTGACTTCTTCTTATGGGAGACTTTAAAAAATAAGGTTTATAAATCAAGACTCCAAACACGAGAAGAACTTTGCGATCGCATTCGGTGGGCTTGCCACAGTATAACCAGGCAACAGCTAAGAAGCGTGGTAAACAACTGTAGACGACGCATAGACAAATGCATAATGCAAAATGGTGGACTAATTGAAATGACTACTATTTAATTATCGTTAGTTGTTTTATTTTTTAATTGTTTGTTTTTGAGTTGCTCTAATACAATAAAAACGTGTTTAATTCGTATACCTACAGCTAATTTTCCATTTAAAATTAATTTTTTTATTAATTTTGGTGTACGTTTCTTTGTACTACTCTATAGTAAATTTAGTTGTTGCTTAGGGAGCATTCGGAATTACTAAAATATCCACTAAATGTGTTTAATGAATTCGCGTCATTGTTTTTGTTATAAAAAAAACACCCTGTATCTAATAGCGATAAAAATTTGTATAGTGGGGTTTTAAGTGGTCCCGAATAATCCTTTTTCAACAAAAAAAGTTAAAGAAAATCCGTTGAAAAATGAAAATTTTACGAGGGTTTTATCAAAAAATTAAAACATGTCCAGCTGGAACACCCTGTATCTAAAAGCGATAAAAATTGGTGTAGTGGGGTTTTAAGTGGTCCCGAATAATCCTTTTTCAACAAAAAAATTTAAGAAAATCGGTTGAAAAATGCAAATTTTACGAGGTTTTTATCAAAAAATTAAAAAACATCCATCTGGAACACCCTGTATTTAAGAACGATAAAAATTCGTATAGTGGGGTTATAAGTGGTCCCGAACAATAATCCGTAGTCACTTTTTCTCTGAAAAAATCCCTAATAGTACTTTTCGAAATTTCGACCCCAACAAGAGATCACAGTTGGCCATGAGTTTAGTCGTCAAAACAAGTAACATATGTGATTAAAGCCTTTTTTAGAGATCTATCCAACAAAAAAAAGTTTACGAAGATCGGTTGAAAAATGCAAATTTTACGAGGGTGGTAAGGTCTTAAGCGGGACACACTGTATAGGTTGATATTGTCAATTTTGATAAGGTCAAATCATTTTTTGATTAAATTTTATTTCTATATCTAGAGTGCCTTAAATTGGCTTTTCTGCTTCATGTTGGGCCAAGTAGTCTGGAAAAAATACAATTTTTTTTGCACTGCTGGTTTTTACGAGCTGAAAAACCATACTTTATGCCAATAACCAATAATTTTTTAAGAATATCGCTTTTAAACTCTTTATTAAATTTGCACTCAGAGAAATATCATTTCATGAAAAGCATATGAAATGATATTAATTTAAATAACCAGGTAAATTTGATTCAAATAGAAAAAATTGTAGTTTTATATTCATTTACCAACAGTTTTACAATGTTTTTAAACACTTTTAAAGTGTACTCTTTTTAAAATATATATACAAAAAGAAATCTATTTATTTCATTGCCTTTCTCAACGTTATTTTAAAAATATATGTATTATACAATTGTTATACACCTTTTAATTTAATGAGAAACACCAATGACGCCAAAACATATTTGAATCCCTTTGAATTATTAGGGATTCAAATATGTTTTGGCGTCATTGGTGTTTCTCATTAAATTAATAGGTGCATAACAATTGTATAATACATATCTTTTTGAAACAACTTTGAGAAAGGCAATGAAATAAATAGATTTCTTTTTGTATATATAATTTAAAGAGGGTACACTTTAAAAGTGTTTCAAAACATTGTAAAACTGTTGGTAAATGAATGTAAAACAAAAATTTTTTCTATTTAAATCAAATTTACCCGATTATTTAAATTAATATAATTTCATATGCTCTTCATAACTTGATATTTCTCTCAGTGTGTATACAATATATGTTTATTAGGTTTTACAGTATGCACAGAAGTTAATAAATTACCTTTGTGTTTAAAAGAAGTATTATATTTGACTGTTCGTTTGTTAATAATAATAATAATAATAATTGACGTGGTTAGAATCAAAGGGGTGTAAGTAATTGCTCAACATTTTTTGGTTTTAAATCTACTAAATAAAATCATTCAAATATTTTAAAACGATTATAAAAAGTTATATCTAATCGCCCCCATAGTGTGGCCATTTTAGGGAATATCTTGCAATAAATAAAAAAAACGAAATATTAAATCAAATAAAAATTTGTTATTTCTAAACATAATTAAGATGCTTATTTTCCTTCCTGATAGAGCCTTATTCAAAAAGAGTTTCGCGACTGCCTCAATCATAATTTGATAATATTATCTGACCAAAAATTTTCGGAATCGCGTTTTCAAAAGTTTCTTGTGCATTCGATTCATTACTTTTAGGTATATAATACTTTCTTGTTGTTATTTTAACCAAAATAAACTTGCACTGAAAAAAAATATTCTTGATTCAAAACAATCTTTGTCTCATATATAACGAAGAGAATATATTCTTTAAAATAGTAAAGTATTTTCTTAATTCACGTTGATTTACTTCAAGAATATTTTCTTAATGTAAGAACATTAAGAAAAGATTCTTGAAGTAAATCAACTTAATGTAAGAACATTAAGAAAAGATTCTTGAAGTAAATCAACGTGAATTAAGAAAATACTTTACCATTTTAAAGAATATATTCTCTTCGTTATATATGAGACAAAGATTGTTTTGAATCAAGAATATTTTTTTTCAGTGTGGGTATACTTTTTACATATTTTAAAAGTACCACATGCAAAAATATTAAGAATTTTACTCTAAAATCCTTAATAATTTAATTTACTTAGGGCTGGTTTATCAATCTCTGGTTAAGTTCCAGTTGGTCTATTTGACAGTTAAATTCCATATCGATCGTTGTGAGAACAATGGTATCCATGGAGATTATCTGCCGGATAACTAACTGCAACTTTAACCGTACATTGATAAACCGGCCCTTATTTAATTAAGAGCACTTTCGGTGAAATCAGAAGTGAGAAAAATATGTTAAATATGCCAAAAAGTTCTAAACTACATTTTATAAAGGTCACCCCATGGGCCCAGTTCCATGACCCTAGATAAAATAGCAAATTTTTACGATGACCCCCGAATTTACTAGAAAAGGGCATTTTCATTTAAAAATTATAATTCCGAAACGACGAATTTAGCAATCTCGGAGCTTTTAGTGAAAGTTGTTATATTATAATATATTATTAACTTCAAACGAAAAAATAATGAAGTAAAAAAAAGTGGCAATGTCAAAATTTTGACCTCAATTTTTTTTGCCTTTTTAGAATAAACAATTTAAAAAAAAATTGTTTGAATTCACTTAATTTTTATTATATATATATTTATTTTTTGTATGAAGTAAAGATTTACGTACAATTAAAAAAAATTGTAAGGATCGAACCATTTTTGGCCAAGACCATTTGTAAGAAAAAATGTCACTTGTAAAAAGAGAAAAATCGATGTTTCTGTCCATTTTTCTAAAATTTCCTACAGGTGAACAAAACAAATTTAAGCAAAAAGAAAAAATACCTGTCCCAACGATTTCGGTAGAGAAAGTGTAAAAAAAATTGTTAACAAATAAACAACTTACCCCTTTTTGCCTGGTCGGTTTGAGATGGAAAAGTCCTATTATAAACCACTTAGGTCCTCATAAAATATTAAAGTATTTACTCGAGAGATAATAGTTTTAATATTATTCTAAACCAAAGAAATATTGTATATACTTCGGCAAAAATGTTTAAAAGGAATACTGCTTACATGCATGCTAACTAGCTTTACCTATTTTGCGTTCATAATGACTTCATTATAACACCGCTTTCGGTGCTGTAATGAGATACTTTATCCCACCCAAAATTTTGATTTTATAGGTTGGCTATACTTTAAACAGCATAATATTTTGCCTATTGGTTATAATATTTTAATGATTTTTCTAGTACTTTCCTGGCAATAAATTTTGTTTAACACCAAAGAAAATCCTTTTTTTCTTCTTTAACATTAACATCCGCTTATTGTAAATAAGTAAATTAAGGACCGCATGGCGAATCGATTTTGACATTAACTGTCAAACCAATGACTGTGATACCAACTATCTAAAGTAAAATTCGACCAAATTAAATTTAAGATATACAATTAATTTTTTTATAGATTTTTTGCGAAATAGATAAAATAGCATAAAGAACTCATGTCACAAGACCTTTTGTCGCACTCGTCCATTACAAAACTCGCTCCTTCGTCGCTCGTTTTATAAATTGACGTCTTATGACATTAGTTCTTTAATATACTATTATCGACCTCTTCGTCTATGGACACTATAAAGCTCACTTAACTACCATTTAGCTTTTTTGGAAGTGTCAGACGAGGATTTATGAAAGCTGTGACAACCTCATTAAAGCAATTATAATAAAACCTTTAGGTTTTATTATCAGTGCAAAAATAGGCCTTGAAGGCAATGAAAGGATTCTCCCTTTTGGCTTTAAGAAAGTCTTAAGCCTGCTGTAACAGCGCATTAAAGTACAAATAGCTTCAAGGTGTAATTTTAATCGGTGCTGTTACAGCAATAATAAAACTTACTGTGTTACTTGGGCAGGGACATGGCAGAAAATACCTCCTTTTTCCGGGATACGGGCAAGACTCTTTAATGCATCTACACAGAAAAAAATCTAACATAGTACCAATAACAGCGCTGTCATTGAATGCATTAAAATTGAAGCAATCCAAATTGTTATTTGCTCAATTAATTACTATTAAACCAAAATAGGGAAATATTTTGCCTAAATGTCAAAGAATTTATTGCGTTAAATGTATACATAGTATACATACAATAGTAACGTTATTAAATAAATCAAATTAGTATTTAATGCAATAACATTTTACCATTCTAACAAATAAATATCAATATGAATATCAATAGATTTAGGAGCGATAACTTTTGTTGTTAATTTAAAAACAGTAAACGATTATAAACCAAGTGCTAACTACCTATTGGTATTATAGAAACTGTTATTCAGGAATACGGATTACAAGATCCCATTGGTTTAATGGCTCACCCATTCATGCTATGCTAGCGTTTTTTCTGTGTACTATGAAGGAATGCCATGAAAGCAAGTCTACAGAGTAGTAAGAAGTATCATCGAAACCAAGTAGATAGAAAGTAGAAACTTCCCTATTGAAGTAATGCGAAAACTGTTCTGATATGGCACGAGTATCCTCGACTAAAATTTAGTTTAACCAGATGTAACACAAATTTGTTATCCAACAAGAAACACATCTAAAATTCCTTATTCCGTCGTAGGTTGGATGCAGTCCAAGACGACTCAATTTCGGTTTAATAACCGTGACAATGTTGGTATCGATGTGGATCTCAAACACCGCAGCCACAGCAATGATGATACCCATCATAGAAGCAACCCTTAAAGAGCTCGAAGAACAAGGTATAGGCGCTATGTATGAAGAAAACTCTACATTACCAACCGAGGCCAACAACAGCAAGGTGGAAATCCAACACGACAATGAGCCGAAGAGGCCAACAAAAACCACCATGTGCTATTTCATATCCACTGGTAAGTTTTTTACTGAGGGTTTGAGCAAATATTAGAAATATTCCCAAACACCAAAACAAAACCGTTAGTACTTAGCTTATAATTAGTATAAATATATTTATACTAATTATATGGTAGATACAGCAGATAGATTTAGTTATACATTTTCATGAAAAATTGAAATTTTTCAAAAATTGAGTTTTATTTTTCGGAAAAGTTGGAAAAGTTGAGTTTTTTGTAATGTATACGTATAAAACATAAATAATGCTTCTCAATGTACATAGGTATTAAAATAATTTATTTCTTATGTATACTCTCTAAAAATTAATTAGTCACGAACAGAGCTGTCAGAAAAAAGTATCTTAGTTACTTTAGAGTAACTTAGTTACTTTAAAGTATCTTAGTATAGTATCTTACTGTATCTTAGTTCCTTTATTCTTTTAACAAAATGTATCTAGTATCTTGGATACTTTTTAAAAGGAACTGTATCTTGTAACTTAAAAAAAGTATCTTAGATACCGAAAAGTATCTTAGATACCACAAGAAAAGTTCCTTTAAAAAAGTCCTTTCCTTTTAAAAGTCATGTCGTTTTAAAAAAGAACGAACTTTTTGGTCGCAGTTTAGAACCGATTTTTTGGTAGATCTATGGATTTGGCAGTCCATTTACCAAAAATACCTTATTTTCTACCGATTTTCACTTCGGTACTTTACTACTAATTTATCTTATTATGACGATATAATACAAAATACGTGACCCAAATATTCTTATTGGATGAATTTTAGCAACTAAAATACGTTAAAATAAAACAATATTCCTATAATAGAAGACCACACCATTTTTGATAAAGTTTGACAGAATGTTATTCCAAAAAACAATGATTTTAGCACGTTTTACTAAAAACACTTCAAATCTAGCGATTGATATCGAATTTTGACCAAATTATCTACCGAAAAAAATTTATGGTAGTGGAAACACTGCTTAGAAGTCAACTCATTGTTCATTGGCTCTCCCACCTACTAACTTTTCATAGAAGGTGCCGAACTTTTCCAACTTTTCGACAGAACTTTTCCTCGTTTGCAACCCTAGTTACACTTCGCCAACATCGTTGGCGAAAAGTACTTTAAGCACTTTGTGTTTTGTTTTGTGGAAATTTTTCTCTGAGAAAGTTTTAATAAAAGTTTAAAAGTCTTACTTTCTCTTAAAAAGTCAGAATAAGACGTATTAAGTCGAAACAAGTCTGAATAAGTCTTAGTAAGTCAGACTAATAGCAAGATTTGGGAGTCTTTTGGAAGAGTTAATAAGACTTTTTAAGACTTTTAGCAGAGAAATGGTAGGTACCTATAGCGACTAAAATAAATATCCGGAATTATTCAGAGATGTTTTATTTGGTTATTGCAAAAGAAAGTTTTTACTTATTAAAACTTTTTCAGAGAAAAGGGTGGGGAATATTTCTAATATTTGTTTAAAATACCACCAAAGTTGTTCTTTTTCAAGTATGAGGGTTTGAGGAAAACTTGCTAATGGTTTTATTTTCAGCGTACGCGGCGAGCATAGGTGGCAATGGTTGCATCATCGGCAGTGGCACCAACTTGACGTTCAAAGGCATCTTCGAGACGCGTTTCCAAGACGGGCCAGGTCTGGAATTCGCAAAATGGATGCTGCTGAACGTCCCGATGATGCTACTGATGATGTACCTGTCCTGCATATGGCTGCAGTTCTACTTCATGGGATTGTTCAGGCCGAACTCGGCGGACGCCAAAAAAATAAAAGTCGGAAAACAGGGGGAGTTGGTGGCCAGAAAATTGATCAAACAAAAAATCGCCGAGCTGGGAAAGATGTCCTTCCACGAAAAAGCCGTGGCCAGTTTGTTTTGCCTCTCCGTTCTTTTGTGGTTCTTCAGGCAGCCTCAGTTTATCACGGGATGGGCCGAGTTAATAACGCAACACAAGGTAAGTCAAAAATCAATTTTGGTCTCCAAAATGCCCATTGTTTCTCAACAACTCAACGAAAGTAACTATCGCATTAAGTTACATATGGGGCAAAATTTGCCAAGTGTAGGTACCTGGTGAAAAAAAATTTTGTCACCGATTTTGTTTAAACTTTACTTATTTGTTGTTCTTATAACGAAGAATCAGCATAAAATTTTTTTGCTCTAAGATTGTTCATTCAAGAGTTATGGATTATTGAAATTTATCGATTTTTTACTTTTTGGTGAAATCGCTTTTTATTTAACAATTCATAACTTCTGTTCATCTCTTTATTAAATATTTCAATTTAACCACCTTAAATGTTTTTTTCCGTACTTTTCAATGAGCTATACCGTTTTTGCAAACAAAAAAATTTGCAATTTTTTTTTTAATTTTGCAAAATTTTGCATTTTTTGAAACAATGTGTATTTTTTAATTTTTTTTTAAAATAGCATAAAATCGAAGTTTATTATGTTACCTTTGAATAAAAAAAAATTTAGAGTGGGCCCGACATGTAGAAGGGAAGTTTTTCATATTTGAATGCGTGCGGGTCTAGCCATCGAATAGCTACTACCATAGATTCTTTTTAATCTATGGCTAGTAGTATACTACACTGCCGTATGCGTTTATACCTACTAGATGCGAGTAAACGAATACAAAATGATAATTTAAAATGTAAAATTATGTTTGAGTAGTCAATGATGTATTTTAAAAATTTACACTGCCGCACGATATAGTTTTTTAACTGTATTTTTTTGCACAAATTGTTTAAGCATTGGTCTACATAGCCGTTACGGTTATAACAATAATTTTTTATTTAATATCATCGATCCTCCAGTGTAAATATCGATTTTTTTTACAAAAACGGTATAGCCCATTGAAAAGTACGGAAAAAATCATTTAAGGTGGTTAAATTAAAATATTTAATAAAGAGATGAACAGAAGTTATGAATTTTTAAATAAAAAGCGATTTCACCAAAAAGTAAAAAATCGATAAATTTCAATAATCCATAACTCTTGAATGAACAATCCTAGAGCAAAAAAATTGTATGCTATGATTCTTCGTTATAAGAACAACAAATAAGTAAAGTTTAAACAAAATCGGTGACAAAATTTTTTTTCACCGATAAATTTCAATAATCCATAACTCTTGAATCCTAGAGCAAAAAAATTGTATGCTATGATTCTTCGTTATAAGAACAACAAATAAGTAAAGTTTAAACAAAATCGGTAACAAAATTTTTTTTCACCTGGTACACTTTTGCCCCATATACGAGGTGTGTTAAGAAAATATCGGGAATTTTCGTTTTTTGAAACAAATATTTATTTATTCGTCTACATTAATGTTGTCGCCTTCAAAATAGTCCCCATGGGATATTGGATATTATCCACATGTGCCAGCTCTTCTTCCAATTCTCGAAACACTTCTAAAACTCGATCTTTGGGATAGCCTTTAGTTCTTTCAGCGATGCGCTTTTAATGTCATCTATGCTTGCAAAACGACGGCCCTTTAAGGTTCTATTTATTTTTGGGAATAGGAAAAAGTCAGACAGAGGCATGCCTGGCGAATATGGAGGCTGGGGCATCATTTCAGTATTGTTTTTAGCCAAAAATTTTGTTCAAAATTTAACAATTTTCGAACAAATTTTGCTGCCACGCGTTTCATACCCAAAACCCAAAATTTCATGGAATGAGCCAATCGATATACCAACATCATCAGCGACTTCTCTGATGGTTTATAACCATTTCTTCCACTTTTTCCCTGTTTTTATCGGTTGTTAATGTGCTTGTGCGTTCGGGGCGTTCGTCATCTTCAACGTCTTCACGGCCATCTTGGAAACTCTTATACCACTTGTAAACTCTTGTTTTACTCATAGCAGACGCACTATAGGCCTTTGTTCACATTTCACAGAATTTATTTCATTTTTTTAGCAAAATTGGATACAAATTCTTTGATCCATTTTTTTAACGAACGAAAAATCGCCGAGTTCATAAAACACGTCTAACCTTAGCGGCTACCACAGACAAAGTAAACAATGAAAACAGCTAAACTTTCGGAGGCTTGTATAGTATACCAACATAATAAATAAAATTTTATGACAAATGGACCCTCCGAAGTCGCGAAAATGAACAATTCCTGTTATTTTCTGAACACACCTCGTACTTTGAAAAATTTAAGATTAAGTCCAAGTTATCTATAAAGTTCATTGATTGATTTTTTTAACCATTTTTTTAATAATAACGGAAATATTGTAAATACGCACATTATAGCGATAAAGGCCAGACTATGGCTTGCCTCAATTAATAAATACATTTGTGACGTAAATAATGACATCTTTAATACTTAGTCAAAACAAAATAAAGTAGATAACATACATATGTTCGATGTGAAAAAATGTGTACGATTTAAATTTATGCTTATTTTAATGTAATTCCAATATCTTGAATACGATACAAGGTATTGAAATTTGTTTTTAATGTCTTAATTCATGACAAAAGTATGTCACCATTTTTGATAATAAAAAAGTTATATGGGCCATTCCACGCGTAACGGATAGGACAGTTTCCGTGTTTTTATTTACAAAATAATATTGTTCTATTATATTACCAATGTCAAAATTTTATAAATAGTTCTAAACTAAAGCTGTTTAACAAGGTTTTTATTTGGCAAAATTAGGTATCGTGGTTGATTGTTTAATTCCTTAAAAACTAATAATTTAAAGCGTAACGGACGGGACTTTGTAATAGAAAATATTTTAAGATATCTTGGTCCGTTTTCGAGATGCACGGTGTTTAGTAAAAACACCCCTAAAAAGACGATGCTCGAGAAAATCTAGGATATCTTGAAAACAAGATAAGATATTAAAAAATGGTTTTTTCTATCTTAAAAGGCCTTAAATTTCCTAAAACATTACAAGAAGTCGCTAATTTATATTAACTTTTATTTTTAAAAATACAGTTTTACAAATTTTGCCAACATTTGACAAACATTCAATACAATTTATGTGGTTAGAACCACAAATATCTATATCTCAAAAACAAGATGAGCTATTAAAAAATGGTTTTTACTATCTTAAAATGCCTGAAATTTTCTTAAACATTGCAAAAATTCGCAAAATCGTAATTTCAAAAATAACAAAGTTATCTACGTTTTTAGTGAAGGATGTCCTTCCATTTTAGAGGTACAGGGTGTACTAAAAGCATCCTTAAAAAATTTTTTTTACATCTTTTTTATTTTTCTAAATACTGTTTTACAAAATTTCAAGATAATTTTAGTTGTAAAAGCGGTTTTAATAGTATACTATGTATTAAGTTTGATAAACGCCATTTTATACAGGAATTTAATTTAGGCACGAGCGAGCTTGCAAGCGAGTGCTTAAGTTAATGAGTGTATACTTATTAATCAATTTTTTTTTTTTTAAATACAGTTATACAAATTTTGGCAACATTTTTCAAAATTTCAATACAATTTAAGTGGTTAAATACAGTGTTTAATGAAAACGCCCCTAAAAAGAAATTGTTCGACAATTTTATAGATATCTCAAAAACAGAATAAAATATTAAAAAATGGTTTAAATTTTCTAAAACATTGCAAAAATTTGCAAATTCGTAATTTTAAAAATAAGATAAGATAATAAAATTTTACTTTCAATGTCTTAAAGTGTTTATAATTGTACAAAATCGTAAATCATCGTAAAACTGTATTTTGGAAAGAAAGTTAGGTATAAGCTGTTTTACGAATTTTGCCAAAATTTTACAAAATTTTAAGATACTAGTCGAGATATTAGTGAAAACACCCTTAAAAAGACGGTGTTCGAGAAAATGGAAGATATCTCGAAAACAAGATAAGATATTAAAAAATGGTTTGGACTATCTTAAAAGGCCTTAAATTTCCTAAAACATTGCAAAAAGTCGCTAATCTGTAATTTTAAAAATAACAAAATTATTGGCGTTTTTAGGTGAAAGATGCCACAGCCGCTCTCATCGTAGTTCTACTGCTATTCATAATACCCTCAAAACCCGACTTCATCAACATATTCAACAAAGACGAGTCGAAACGACCGAAAACCTCATCGCCAGCACTAATTACCTGGAAAGTTGTGCAACAGAAAATGCCGTGGGGCCTGATCTTCCTCCTAGGCGGTGGCTTCGCGCTGGCCGAGGCCTCAAAAAGCTCAGGCATGAGTCAACTGATCGCGGCGCATTTGCACGGATTGGCGGAGTTGCCGAAAATCTACGTGCTCATGATTTCGTGCACGTTTGCCACGTTTCTGACGCAGTTTTCCAGCAACGTTGCCGTAGCGAATGTGGTGTTGCCGGTCTTGGCCGAAGTGGCTTTGGTAAGTTGAAATGTTTAAGTTATTACTTTTTTTTTAAATGCAAACCCCCAGTTGTCTTAAGAATGTTAGCTTTATACAGGGTGAATTACTTAACTTATGGTTTATGGAAAACGGAAAGATATCGATTTTAAATTTGTATAGTAAATATAAGGCAATGTAAACTATTGTTTTAAATTATTTTTAATGCGTTATCACTTCCGGTTAAACGACAATTTTTAAGTTAATGTAAGATATCTCGAAAATAAGATAAAATAATAAAATTGGACTTTCACTGACTTACAGTGTTTATAATGAATGCTACAAAATGTTGCAGAACATCGTAAAACTGTATTTTTAAAAATAAAAAAAGTTATATGCACTTTTTATAAAAAAAAATTCTTATTGTAACTTTTTTGTTTTTCAAAATATAGTTTTACAAATTTTCGCAACAATTTCAATACAATTTTAGTGGTTAAAACCATTTTAAGATAAAATGGTTTTTACTAAATTTTCTAAAACATTGAAACAGTAACTTTTTTATTTTTCAAAATAGAATTTTACACATTTTGGGATCAAAAATTCTATACAATTTAAGTAAATAAAACCACTTTAAGATATCTTTCTCCGTTTTCGAAATTTTCTAGATATATCGAAAACAAGATGAGATATTAAAAAATGGTTTTCACCACAATCCACACAACATTGTGGATTGTGGTATGCACTATCTTAAAATGCGTTAAATTTTCCAAAACATTCGTAATTAAAAAAACGAAGTTATCTACGTTTTAAGTGAAGGATGTCAATTTTAGAGATGGGCCATTTCAAGCATACGGACGGGACAAATCACAAAACTGTTTTTATAAAAAAATTGTAGGTAATTTATTATAAATTATTTTTGCATCAAAATTGTCAAATACACACAGTGCGCCTCTGTAAAGTTTAAGTTTTTTGAAAAGACCACCAAAATTTTTTTCTTGTTGATTATAGTGGACCATCCCCTCATTACATACCACTAGTCACCTAAATCGCAGCTGATCCTTCTTGAAAGTTTTTTAGCTCTTTATATTTTTTTTATTTTTTTTTTAATTCAATTAATTTCCAAACAAATGCTGGCTTTTCTGGCGGGCAGATGGATAAAATTACAAATATTATCAGAACATCGGCAGGAAAAAATTCAATACCCAGTCAATATAGAACCTCGCGAAGAAGTCGATCTCGTATTTTGTTTAAATACTATAAAGAAGTTCTGTAATTTTGGAAACTCTATAGAGGGAAAACTCCTACGGACAGTTATTTATGCAGATGCAAGTGACCTAGTAAACGAAATTTTAGAAAGGAAACAAAAGTTTGGCACACCAAATGTCAAGGTTTTGTGCGATGGAGGCCAAGATTTTTTAAAATATGTCTGTCCCTATTTCCAGAAGATCCAGAAAATAAAGAGAATGAAATTTCATTGCGTTCGAGGAATTCAGATGGAGGTAACGCTGCAAAAAAAGGAAAACTTATAGGTGTTAAGAGACTGATCATCTTCTGTATGGTTCCTGTCATCAAAGAAACATACGAAAATCTTAACTTACTTTTGGACTTTTTAAAAATAAACAAGATATCCTTTAAATTTCTTTCTGACTTAAAAATAATTCTAATGGTTAATGGCTTACAGACAGCAACATCGTCCTACCCATGTCCTTATTGCTACATTTCGTTAAAAGAACTTCGATCATACAGTGAATATCACAAAGAGTTGCGCTCCTATGGCGATAATACACTTCATTTTAATAAATTTGACTTAATTTTTGAAAAAAACTTAAAACGTGGAAATTAATCTTTTGGTAGGTACTATCAATAAAGCCATTTTCAAAGAAGAAGATGAAAGAATTTTCAAGAAATGTATTATTCCGGAACTTTATCTTTTTGTTAATCATTTATTTTTTAAAGGACTTGTACCACTGTTAGCCAAGAAAATGCATTAAAATGGCCTAAACAGCTACATTTAGTCATGAAAAAATATCAAGGAGAACTTTTTGAAAGGAATGCCTGCAGAAAGTTGTTGAAAAATGCAGAAGATTTAAAGTCAAAAGAGATATTAGTCAACCTGGAAGAAGTTTATGTTATACCCTTTGTTGTGACTTTCAACACAATGAATCGTATTGTTGAAAAGTGTTTTGGTTCAAAGCTGCTTTGTACCTTAAGTGAACTGAAGGCTGATGTGTCACTTTTGAAAGCAGTTTTATAGGACACAGGAGTCTCGCAGACCCTTTGGAGCATCTTGTCGAAACGGTCCAATTTTTGAAAACTTGGTTGGGTCTGTGGTCGGAACAAGCTGGTGAGTCTGTTCACCGAGAATTTTTGTTAATTTGGAAGAACTACAAAATCAATGATATAAATGACCTGCGATACGGACACTAGTGTTATAAAGAATTTTTGCTCTTGTTTGAAATTGTTTTAAAGTTTAATTAATTGTTGTATTATTTTAAGTGTAATAAATTTGATATATTTTGATTTTGTTAAAGACTGTCAAGTATAGTGCACTGCATTTGATATATTTTTTAATTTTCTTTTGTCTCCATTTAATTGAATTTTATAAAAATACTTTAAAAAACAAAAAAAAATCTAAAGAGCTAAAAATCTTTCAAGAAGGATCAGCTGCGATTTAGGTGACTAGTGGTATTTAATAAGGGGATGGTCCACTATAATTAACAACAAAAAAATTTGGGTGGTCTTTTCAAAAAACTTAAACTTTACAGAGGCGCACTGTGTACATTATTCTTTTATTAGGCTAAATAAACATTAAATAAAAAACCGCAAGAAATATTTTATAAAAGTAAAGATAATTTTAATAATTGACAGGTATGGACGGGTCTCTACTTTTACAAAATATTTATTGCGTTTTTTATAATTGCCTAATAAAAGAAGAATATTTTTGACAATTTTGATGCTAAAATATTATATAATAAATTATATACAAAGATACTATGAGCATCTCAAAAAATGTTTTTTCTTTAACCCTTTCAATACGACTTTTCGGAAATTAATTTAAAACTTTTTTTTTAGTGTTAAAACTATATTTAGGTTAAAAATAGTTAATTGACTGAATGACAGATTTTTAACTTTGGTGGTATTTGAAAAAAAGGCCTGGAACAGATTTATCCCTGCAGTAATATGCCCTGGGATATATTTATCCCCACACTAAAGAAATTCTACTATTTTTGAAAATGTTTATTATCAAAAAACACTGATGGGATAAAACTATCCCCTGTCATATTACTGCAGGGATATTTTTGTCCCAACTTATATTTTGAGGAATGAGTTGTGACGTACAATGCACATAAAGTATCACAAAAATTCAAGCAAAATTTACACAAAAACTGCACAAAATAGGTTATGTGACTGGTCTTTTTCAATTTCGAGCGTGCAATGGCCAAAAAACAGCTGGTTATTGTTCACGTGACGTTAAATAAATTAAGTTTTTATTACTGATATCCCAAGTCAAGACATAGAAATACTAAATTGTCTCGACCCTATTTTATTTAAACGCACTTTATTAAGTAGAGAATTTTTTTAATTTTCTTTGGGACGTATATATCCCCGCAGTATTGAAAGGGTTAAACACTGTTTTACAAAATTTCAAGACAATTTTAGTTTAAAAAAAATAAAAGCACCCCATAAACGACAATGTTTAAGATAATATAAGATATCTTGAAAATAAGATAAGATAATAAAATTTGACATTGTTTTATCAAACTGTATTTTGAAAAATTAAAAATTGGTAACTTTTTTGTTTTTAAAATAGTATTACAAATTTTGGCAACATTTTATAAAATTTCAGCACAATTAGTGGTTAAAACCACTTTCAAATATCTTGGTCCATTTTCGAAATAATAATAATAATAAAACGCCCCTATAAAGACAGTATACTGTATAAAGCCAACATTCTTAAGACAACTATAGTTGTCTTAAGAATGTTAGCTTTATACAGGGTGAATTACTTAACTTATTAGAAGTTTATAGAAAACGGAAAAAGATATCGATATCGGTTAAAACGGAAATGATTTCAAATTTTTTTTTTCTAATGGAACCATATAAATATTATTGAATTTTTAAATTCTACGTAAAATTCTAGAAATACCAAAGTTTGATTTTTGTTCTGTGTTTTTAACAGTTTTTGAGATATTTCATTTTTTTCAAAAATTTTGACAGATGAAGCCATATAAATATTATTGAATTTTTAAGTTCTACGTAAAATTCTATGTAGAAATACCAAAGTTTGATTATTTTTTTGTATTTTAACAGTTTGAGATATTGAATTTTTAAAGTCTACGTAAAATTCTAGAAATACCAAAGTTTGATTATTTTTATGTATTTTTAACAGTTTTTGAGATATTTAATTTTTTTCAAAAATTTTGACAGATCGGCCATTTCAAGCGCGCGAAACGCACGAATTACAAAACTGTTTTTATAAAAAAAAATTGTAGATTATTTATTATATAATATTTTGGAATCAAAATTGTCAAAAATATTCTTCTTTTATTAGGTTATACATTAAATAAAAAAAACTCAAGAAATACTTTATGAAAGTAGATATAATTTTAATAATTGAAAGGTGTGGACGGGACAAAAAAAAGATTTATCTTGTCCCGTCCATCCCTGTCAATTATTGAAATTATCTCTACTTTTATAAAATATGTCTTGCGATTTTTTTTATTTATTGTATACCCTAATAATAGAAGAATATATTTGACAATTTTGATTCAAAAATAATATATAATAAATTAGCTACATTTTTTTTATAAAAACAGTTTTGTGATTTGTCCCGTCCATCCGCTTGAAATGGCCGAGATGGAACCATATAAATATTATTGAATTATTAAATTCTACGTATAATTCTAGAAATACCAAAGTTTCATTGTTTTTTGTATTTTTAATAGTTTTTCAGATACCTATTTCATTTTTTTCAATAATTTTGACAGATGGAACCATATAAATATTATTGAAATTTTAAATTCTACGTAAAATTCTAGAAATACCAAAGTTTGATTATTGTTATGTATTTTTAACAGTTTTTGAGATATTTAATTTTTTCAAAAATTTTGACAGATGGAACCATATAAATATTATTGAATTTTTAAATTCTACGTAAAATTCTATGTAGAAATACCAAAGTTTGATTATTTTTTTGTATTTTTAACAGTATTTTAGATATTTCATTTTTTGTTTTAAATTTTGAGATGGATGGTCTCACTAATATGTCTGTATTACCATTAATTGTAATGTTAAAAAGTTAATTTTTGGTGTACCTGTTAACTAAGGAGCACTCTATCGAAAGCCATTAATAGTATTTGAAAATTTAATACAGGGTGTCTTTTTTGTCACTTTATATACCAACAACTTTCTTAGACTGTCTTAATAGTGAATTTATTTTTTGTCAGGTTGCCAAAGTTCACCCTCTATACCTGATGCTACCGGCAACGCTGTGCTGTTCTTTTGCGTATTGCTTACCGGTGTCAACGCCGCCTAACGCCATTGCTGCCGCACCATGTAACATGTCGTCGACGGAAATGGCCAAATGTGGACTGGGGGTTGCCGTAATTTCATTGGGAGTACTTTTTGTAGTGTTCCCGTTTTTGGGACCGCTAGTATGGGATTTGGACGTGTACCCTGGATGGGCGACAGACTAAACTGAAGAGATTAAAAATAAAAAAATATATAAATCAATTGATTAATATAAAAAAGTGCCATTCCAGATTATATGACGTAAATAAATAACAAATTTTATTATTTATTTTTATAAAATAGGCTAATACAGAACAGTAAAAGCGACTAAAATAGTATTACAAAACAAAAGTTACATTGATTCCTGATTTGAAACGCAATATTGAAATAAAAAATACTTTTTTAATAAAAGAATGTGTATTTTTATAATAACCCTCGTATAGCAAAAACTCAAAAATAAATAACAGATATTAGAAAATTTAGAAATACGCCCCTACATCTATAAGATATCTTTTAGACATCTCAAAAAAGATGGCAAAAAGATGTCCTATAGATTTCTTAGACCAGATGTCCCAAAAATGTCTTTTTAATCAGAATGGGATTTATTAAAAAAATATCATCATTATATTTACTTATTACTAAAATGGCAGTGGCGGCTCGTCGTATAAAGCAACTAAGGCCGGGCCTCACATGTTAAAATTATAATATAACTTAAAATGTTGAATACTTTACTTATTTAAATATAAAACGTTTTTAAACTAATTTCCAGTCATTAAAAGTATCAAAACATCGAATAACCATCAAAGTTAAAAATATTTCCTTTAAATTTAGCGCGCACCCCTTCCAACTTTAATTCTAAACGCTTAAATCATTGCCCGACCGCATAATAGGGAAATAGTAATCCCAGAAATTTGCGCTTCATATACGTCACACATTGCCGATACAACATCATGCTCCCCACCGCCGGCACCCCCGCAAGGTGGGGATAATACGCGAATTTTTGTAGACATTGAGGCCCACAAAGTTGGGCTTGTACCACGGTATATGGAAGACAGCAGTCAGTCCCGAGATCTGTGCGGCTCGCTTATCAGCCGTTGTAAAAGACTGGGCGGGGCGTGGAATGTTTCAGTAAACAAAGCTTATTAATTAGATCTATGCGTGTTTATAGTTTCTTATTTCTGTTTAGTCTTTGCCTTGGCGTTAAAATGGAAAGTTGTGATAAAAATGCAAGCGTAAAATACATTATTGTGTTGTGAATTCATGTAAAAATAATTCAAATAATTATAAAAGACCATTTTTATTTTAATATACTATTTATTAACACACAAATACCACAGTAAAAATCACAAAAAATATAAATGTTTTTTTATAGTTCAGTTTTAAATCGTTGAGTTTCATATACCTACTGTGCTTGTACATTATTATTTTGTTGTTGTGCGGTTGTGCCTTTATTAATCTAAAAATAATTATTGTAAGATAGGTAAAAATGAGCAGTACCTCCTGGGTAATGTGGAAACCTGCTGAAGGAATAAATAAAAATCCCACCTCGTCCCGCACTTTTTGTATTATTCTAGCTAAATTTTGAAAATTCTTCTCCTGAAAGAACATATTATTAAAAAATATATTTTTATTATTTAGATTCTGAAGTACTCCAAAAACGCGAGACCTTGAAAATTTCAAAAAAAAATTGCCTGCGGCGCCATATAGCGGTTCATGGGCCTCACCTTAATAAATGGTCACGAGCCGCCACTGAGATAAAGGTGTGTTTAATGATGATAACAAATAATGATACGGCATAAAAAATTATTACTGGCTAATCGAGTGTGTTTAAGTACAAATACCAACGATACTTGGTCAGGATCCAAGGTCCTGCTTAGTCAAAAGGTCCATCTACAACAATTGTCCCCAAACTGGGGGGCGTGAGGTAATATTAAGGGGGGCGTGAAAGCCCAGAAAAATTTCTGTTTCTAAATAAAAACTCAATTTTTACCAAAAATTTGGAAAACATTTTTGATAAAAAATAAATAAATATAAAGCATTTAATATTTGAATTTTTAATTGGCGCCGTCAGAATGTTTTATCACTTTACCGCTTAACCTTTTTTGAGACTATATTAAAATACAGAGAAACAAGCGATAATGGGTATAATAATTATGGGTTATAAGTGTTTTTTATTAAATAAGTAAATATAATTGTTACTAGTAACAGCTGTGCAGTAAAGTTTTTGCCTAAACAATCAGGAAGGCGTAAACATTTCATGTTACAAAAATTTGCTACCCCACCCATGAGGCCCAAGGGGCGCGGCTAAATAATATTTTAGGTCAACAAGCTTTGGGGAAACTTTATTGTTTACACAACTTTAAACACCTACCCAATATTCATTTTTATAAACAAAATTTTTCGGCCCACTCTAATATTTAATCACTTCAGGGTCGAGTGTTGACGACAGTAAAATTTAATTTATAGACCACTTGAGGATCAAATTTTCAACTAGCTGCTTAAACCGAAAAAAATAAAAAAATTACAAAGTGGCGTACATTTTTTTGTCAAAAATATTTGTTAAGGTGCGGCTTGTTACGCCACTGGACTTAATAAATTTAATCAAGTTGGAGCTAAAAATAACACTGCCAAATTACAAGAAAATTAGATATATAAAAATATAAATACAGTATGCAATACATTAAAATACTATTAAATACCTTTTGTCATAAAGTGTAACGAAAAAATATTTTAAAAAATATTTTCCCAAAGATAAAGAAAAAATTACACTAGAAGTTTTTTATATTTTTTGTGATACGCCACTGGTTACACACTCGTGTTTTGTGAGTACATAGATACCAACCAACAAAGTAGTTGAGCGTTGCCAGTTGTAAAAAATCGTTACTAAAAATTTTTCTTGCAAAAAATAAATAAAGACTCAATAAGTACAAAAGTTTTATGCACTTAAAGCTCTAATACCCTTCTGTATTTATTTACTCATCCAGCTATTAGCTTAAGCAATGATTAGAAAATTTAATACCTATTTTTGTAATTAAGCTAAATTTAAACAAAATCTGGCAACTTTTTTTGACAGAATCTGAAAACGCTGGTTGTCACCAACCATAACAATCAAAGTTGTTTGTAAAATATTAGAAAATTATACTTACTTTTACTTTTCATTTGTTTTTTTGTAGGTTTCTCCAATAGAAAATATATTATTTAAAAATGGTAATAATTTATTAACAATTTTACTTAAAATTAATATCAATGATTATTCTTTACATGCCGTTTCAAATGATATTTTGTTATAGTTTTATAATTACAATGTTTGCATACATATAATTTAGAGGTGATCAAATTTTGATTGGATTCGTTCAACAAATGTGAATGATTAGTTAAAAGATGATTGTCTAAATGTTGTTTTATATTACTTTTATATTGACAAAACAAACAGTTTAAATCTTTCACTTCGTTATGAGTTTTAACATGTCTATTTAAATGACTTTTATTAATAGTTCTATAAAGGCAAAAGTGACATTCATACCACTTGACATTTTGTAATTTCAAACACACTTTTATATGGGAATCATAACTTGACTTCTTGACAGTTGAATATGTACATTTAGTGCATGAATGTATTTTACTTGTTATTTTTATTATATTTTCCTCACTATTATGTTTACTTAACATGTGTGCATTTAAAGTATGTAATTTAGCAGTTGTGTAGTGACAAAAATGACATTTTAAATAGGTTTTTTTGTCGTGAATGTTTAAATGACTTTTAAAACTACTTTTATACAAAGTTTCAAAATCACATTTGTGGCATTTCAATTTATCCAGTTCACCTGTTCTGTGAAGATACTTTTTATGTTCAAATAAATCCTTCTTTTTTTGGTATTTCTTTGGACAAATATCACATTTAAAGAACATCTCTTTTCCACTCACATCACCATATTCAACCCCCTCAATGTTCTCTTCATCCTCATCTTTTTCTTCATTGTGCGAGGAATTTTTATCACCTTCACAAAAGTCCCTTCCTTCTTCCTTGACATTGCACGGTAAATCTTCACTTTCATCTCCATCATCAGAATGGTTACTTTCTTCATCACTATTGGTGATTTTAGATCCAAAATATTGGGCAGGTATGTTTAAATATCTTTGTGGCAAAGTCACGATGTATCTGCCGAAAAATAATAATAATAATAATAATAATAATGTCTTTATTAATTACGTATACAAAATACAATAATTAAAAGGCGAAGTCTAGCCAGGCTACTCCACTTAACCCTTAAACCTTAAAAATAGCATAGGATTTATTTTATGGTTAGCTAGAAATAGACAAAATTGACTCTCTCCCTTTTTATAACAAATTTGGGAGTCTTCTGGAAGAGTTAGTAAGACTTTTAGCAGATAAATGGTAGGTTCCTTTGGCGATTAAAATAAATATCCGAAATTATTCAGAGAGGTTGTACTTGAATTTATTAAAATTTCTGTGTTGTTATAAGCCAAGTTTTTTGCAAAATTACCTATATAATAACATATGCAAGGTGTAATAATTATAACAATTATAACTGACAAATATATATTGTAAACATATTATAATTTTTTAAAGCGGCGGCTTGTTGAAAATGTTTATGTAAATAAGCATACAATTTAGCTTGTTGACAAAAAAATTACATTCATTATGACAGAAATGTTTTAAAAAATACACAAACTTGTGAAAATGCATTTTCAAATAAAACAACATGAGATTGAATGTAAAAACTTAAGATCTTATGCAAATCAAAATGTAGAAAGAAAAGTATAAACTAGACTGGGCCAAAAAATCAACTATTTTTGTTTTTGAAAAATATATCGAAAATATGGTTTGGGGTGACAAAAAAAAATTATTGTGAAAGTTTGAGTCCATAATAATAATATTAAGAGGTCTATCATCGCAATTTTAAATTTTTTTCCTCTGCAAGTTTTTGTTTCAGAACTCCCAAACCATTGAGTTTAACAAAATTGACATTTTTTGAAGAAAATGAAATTCTCTACAAAAAAGGTTAAAATGAAATTTTCCGTCAGATGAACCGTTTCCTTAAAATCATGTCTTAAAAATTGGTATAGTTTTACATTTTGATATTTTAACTTTGGAATTTTGTAATTCATGCAAAAATCAGTACTCATAAAAAACCGATAAATTTTCTTATGGGAAATCAAATGCTTTACAAAAAAAGCCTCTCAACATTTCTGGCTAAATTCACTCAATCAAAATTTATTCAAGGTTAAAGTTGAAGTCAAAACGAAATTCTTGTTTTTTTCTCTGTAGATTTATTTTTTTATGGATGATAATATGATTTTTTTCTTTATAAATGTGTATTATATAACTAATTAACAATTTCCAAGAAAAAAACAACATGATTGTTATTATTTAAACGATTAAATAGGTAAAGTGAAAATAATATTTTCCAAAGAAATTAGCTTCTTAAAGCGAAAAAATTGTGATGTTATTTTTTTTTTAATTTTCAGTAATTTTATCAATAAAATAAAGATTATCATCGATAAAAGAATCCAAGTTTTTAACTCCAATCAAACCTTTTTTGTAAAGCATTCAATTTTCTTCAAAAAATATTTCCAAGTCAATTTTGTTAAACTCAATGGATTGGGAGTTCTGAGACAAAAACTCGCTCAGGAAAAAAAAATCTAAAATTGCGATGATAGACCTCTTAATATTAATATTATGGACTCAAACTTTCACCATAATTTTTTTTGTCACCCCAAACAATATTTTCGATATACTTTACAAAAAAAAAAATATACGATTTTTTTGGCCCAGTCTAGTATAGACCATGGTCTATATCAAGTAGGTAGGTACTATGCTCCACACATGAAAGTCCCACCACGTGACATTGATTGAAATAATTAAGGTTAATAATTTGTCATTTGTAATTTTTTATGTTGTGTTTTAATTTAAAACACAAAAAATAAATATTTTTTATTATTTTTAGAAAAGAAGATGGAATTAGCTTGACACTGACAGAAAATTAACCTTAATTATTTATAGTGTCTCGTGGTGTGGAGCATAATGATCTATAAATATTAAAAGAAATCAGATGGAAAGAAAAAATTAGGAATAGACAGGTATTGTCAAGAAGGCCAAAACATACAGCAAACTGTAAGATGAAAAGAGAAATCATGGACTGATCCACCATAGAAGAGGATCCCTTGGGCTCTAATAGAATAGCTACAACTCCACAGGGTGAATTAAATTATTATCATAACCCCATTATTTTTAAAGATATGACAATACTTTTAGTGGAAACTCCTTCATGTCACTTGTTACATGTTATAACATGTCAACTGTCAAACAACTGTTGCCATAGCAATAATGTAATAAAAGGCAACAAAATGCTTACCCTTTGTCAAGAAACATTTTGTCTTTGGCTTGCTTAGGTTCATTAAGATTGTCTTCTTCATCTGTGGACATTTTTAATTCTTTCTTCACACCCAGTTTATTGTAGACGATGGAATTGTCATTATCATCAAATTCTTCTTTGATTTCTTGTTTTATTGCTAGTTTGAAGGTTGAAGGCATTTCTTGATCAGCATAGGTACTTGGTTTATCACAATTCGTCGAAATATCAGCTTTGAAATTGTTGATCAGTTCTTTAGGTTCTTTTTTAACATCTATTTGCTCCATTGCGTATGAAAACTCTACTACCAATATTTAATAAACACTGAATAGTTCCATTAACATCTAACATACTATCCAAGCTGTTAAAACCAATAGAAAACCTTTATAAACCATCAAACATCGAATTAAACGTATGTTTACTTACCTTGACAGTGTTTTTAGTAAAAAGTTTGTATGCAACTTTTGCAAGAAAAGCCAATCAACTGGATTTTGTCATTAGTTATACGTACACAAAATATAGCTTGATACGAGTATTAATCTGAATCCAAATAAATATTCAAACAATACATCCTAGACAATTTTGTCTAGGCAATACATATCATAGATTAGATACATATTCGAATGAATATTTTGATCCCTGACCACACGTGACACTGACCACAGATTATAAAGACATAACAAATGATTTTGATATTTGACAGAACATTCCCTAAAATATCCCTAGAAATATCACCAGATTTGCTGAGTGCGGATCATTTGCAGGCCCGGATTATCCTATATCTCATAGAAATAATACTAGTATATTTCTTTGCTATATCTATAGCAGGCGGAAATTCTTTCCGAGGTCACTAACAAAAAAGTACCTATTTAATTCGCATTAAAAAAAATTTATAATGAATTATTATCCAGGATAATTTATCCTACTGTTATTATTAACACTTTTTTAAATAAAAATAAAAGTGTGCATAACTTTAGTATTACATATTTTATTACGTATTTTTAGTTTTGTAATAATATAGGTATGTATAGCATGCACTAGTGAAGTTCACTAAGTGAACTAGTGAAACAGCTGAGAGAAAAATTTGGTAATTTTAAACAAATACAATTAATTGAATCGAAAAAAATATTTAAAATAAAAATTGCATTTTATAATTTTAAATTAACTTTGTTCGATTTAAATTCGTTGTTAAAATAATTGAATTAATTATATTTGTTTGAAATTATGAAATTACCAAATTTTTATTTTAAGTGTAGGCGGCAATTTGTTTCAGCCTACAGGCAGCAAATTTTTAAATCCAACTTTGACCATTTGTTAATAATTATTATTATTATTATTATAATCCCAGTAAGCACCAAACACTCGGCAAACAGTCGACCTTCGCTCAGCATAGGCGGTTGACCGGAGGTTCGGCCCGCTTATATATTATATTATATATTATATTTGTATTTGTTACGAATATAAATATTTGCCGCTTTTGTGCGACAAACCGGTTTTTAACATTCGAAATTGATGACGCAACGGAAAACATTCGCTTCGACGACCAGAAGATTTTTAAATTTTAAACTTTTATCTGTTAAAACCAATTTATAAAAAAGAAGTAATATTGTACAGTATGCCCCCGGATGTACAGGGTGATCCCCTATAAAGTCGCCCCCTTTAACTTTTTTATTTTAAGTCTCCCAAAAAATTTAAAAGTGTGGTTATGTAAGTACTAAAAAATACTTTTTTTCTACTTATAAAGAAAATTGGAAAATTGATCAGTATACAGGGAAAAACAAAAAGTTTATTTTTTTTCAATGGATCACCCTATATATGTATTTATTTTTCGATTCCTTGTAAAATTCCAAGCATATTTCATATAACATACCATATACCTAAATTCAACCGATTTTGTTTAATTAGGCAGGTAAATTTATAAACCCTTTAAATTTTACTGTTGATCTTATGAATTTAAATTTTGTAAAATAAATGCGCTTCATCAATATTTAAGTAGGTATAAACAAATTATTTATTTAATAATGTTTATAAATAAAAAATCTTAATATTTATTATTAATTTTTATTTAATTATTAATATCGTCTATTACCAACAAAATTACTATTTATTAAAAAGTTAACAACCAACAATTAAAATAATTTATTATTTACATTATTTACAAGTGCTCTTATGCTATTATGGTGCACGTGGTACTGTAAAGTAAAGTAGCGAAAACTACTTCAAAGGAAAATGCTTAAGCATTTGAAGTAGTTTTCGCTACTTTAAAGTTTTTTTCCACCTTAATTTACTTTACGGTAGTTTTGGTTAGTACCATAAACGTTCCAAATACTAAAATAATAACTTTGTAGTTTTTAACTCATGTTCCAGTTTCGAGATTTTAACTTGCAAAGGGACTACAAAGTAAAAATAATTATAATGTAATATTTAGGTAGAAACCGAAAGTAACTGCTACCAATTATATTTACTTGAACGTTTTTTTACTTATAACACCTTTTGTAAAGTTGCAAAGTCTTCTTGGGGGCAACCAAGTTTTACTTAAATGTTTATTATTTTATAGTAACCATTTAAGCAAATAATGAAGTTTCTGTTAGAAAATATTGCTATTTAAAAGTTAGAATTACTTTTAAGTAAAAATTTAAGTAGCTGTTTAGTATACTTAACTAATTAAAAGTTATCACAACTTTGGTAATGGTTTTTGGAACAAAAAATGCTGCTTGGGCTGCTGGTTGACAACCTCTTGCCACAAGGTGCAGAACGACACTGTGTATTTAATTTTTATTGTTTGGTTACTTAAAATATAGCTTTGCTGACATTTTATCATGAGTTTTTTTATTACATGCTTTTACGTGAATATCATAAGTTGATTTCTTAACAGTTAAATAAGAACAGTTGCTGCATGAATGTATTTTACTTGTTATTTTTATATTATTTTCATTATTATGCTTGCTCAACAGGTGTGCATTTAAAGTATATAATTTAGCAGCCGTGTAGTCACAAAAATTACATTTTAATTGGTTATTCTTGTCATGAATTTTTAAATGAATTTTGAAATGACTTTTTTTTAAAGTTTGGTATCCACATTTTTCACATTTAAATTGTTCCTGTTGGTCTTTTTTGTGAACGTATTTTCTATGTTCCAATAAACTGCTCTTTGTTTGATAACTCTTAGAACACATACTGCATTTAAACAACTTGTTTTTGGCCCTTGGTTTTAAACATTTTTCCTCGTGACTTTCCAAGAATTCTTTGTTGAAAAATTGATTTGAACAGTTTTTACACTGATAGATACTGTCAAAAGTATCTTCAAATTCGGATTCTGGATTTTTTCCAATTTCTGTAAAAAAAAATGTGTGAGTTTATTATGTAAGGTACACGTGTAATAATTATAACAATTATAATTTTTTACATACGATGCGCTAGACTTTCTTTCATTGTTGCCACTGTACGTTTTATTTTAACAGTTTCTTTTTATATACGCAAATATTCATCTGACCATTGTCCAAACAATTGTTTTAAAAACAATGACACTTCTGACGCAATATCGATTTTCTCAGCTGACCAAATAGATCACAGCTAACCGTCATGTGATCGCATCTTTCCTAGGTTTCCTAGGTCAGTACGTACCCAGTGTTGCCGTTTGCAGGTACTTTACATGAAAATGGTATTTTCGTCATGTTTGCGGGTAAAATATTGAAGCGGGTAAAATCGGGTATTTTGCAAATTTTAATCAAAATAAAGAAATCTTCAGCAAATTATATTGTATATTTACTAAATCTGCGTAATTATTTTATTCATCGACTACATAAAAAATTTAAATTAATTTAATTAATTTTTCAAAACAGTCGCTATTATACTAGTATATTTATGAATTTAAAATATAACTAGTTTTTTTTACTCTTGCGGGTGATATCGGATATTTTGTAATTTTTGGTCGGAAACTTTCATGACATTCATCCGGCAACACTGTACGTACCAGGAAACACAAAATCCAAAGTGGAAGTTCGACGATATATCTTATACGAGGTGTGTTCAGAAAATATCGGGAATTTTCGTTTTTGAAACAAATATTTATTTACTCGTCTACATTAATGTTGTCGCCTTCAAAATCCCCATTGGATATTATGCACATGTGCCAGCTCTTCTTCCAATACTCGAAACACTTCTAAAACTCGATCTTTAAGATAGCCTTTAGTTCTTTCAGCGATGCGCTTTTAATGTCATCTATGCTTGCAAAACGACGGCCCTTTAAGGTTCTCTTTATTTTTGAGAATAGGAAAAAGTCAAACAGAGGCATGTCTGGCGAATATGGAGGCTGGGGCATTTTTACAATATTGTTTTTGACCAAAAATTTGGTTCAAAATTTAACAATTTTAGAACAAATTTTGCTGCCACGCGTTTTATATCCAAAACATTCAAAACAATTTCATGGGATGAGCCAATCGATATACCAACATCATCAGCGACTTCTCTGATGGTTTATAACCATTTCTTCCACTTTTTCCATGTTTTTATCGGTTGTTAATGTGCTTGTGCGTTCGGGGCGTTCGTCATCTTCAACGTCTTCACGTCCATCTTGGAAACTCTTATACCACTTGTAAACTCTTGTTTTACTTATAGCAGACTCACTATAGGCCTTTGTTAACATTTCACAGAATTTATTTCATTTTTTAAGCAAAATTGGATACAAATTCTTTGATCCATTTCTTTTAACGAACGAAAAATCGCCGAGCTCATAAAACACGTCTAACTTTAGCGGCTGCCACAGACAAAGTACACACTAAAAACAGCTAAAGTTTGTATCATACTTCGGGGGCATGTATACCTACATAATAAAGAAAATTTTATGACAACTGGACCCTGCGAACCCGCGAAATTTAACAATTCCCGTTATTTTCTGAACAAACCTCGTATGTTAAATGAGATCGACAAGTGCGTACGCGTTGCAAAAAATTATAATTGTTATAGCTATTACACCGTATGTAATCAACAAGTGATCTGTATGTACACTAGGGTGCTTCATTTTAGAGCGACATTTTTTTTTTCAATGTCCCACCTGAAAATCTTGGAACCGGTCAGAAAACAAAAATTTTGAGGTATTACAAAGCTCTTAATCTTTATTTTAAGCCGTTGCTATTCAATTTTTAAATATTTACCTTTAAAAACCATTAAAAAACAATGATTTATTCTTTTCTCCTTCCGCTTGTACAGTAAGAATATTTTTTTCGAATTTCGGTTCTAAAATCTTCATAGAGGATGAAATTATCTTCAAAAATGTCTATTTAAGCAAGTCTGTAAGTTGAATAGGTTCTTCACAAATTGCCGTTCTACTCGAAAATCATCTAAAATAGTAGTAAATCGTAACTGGAGACTAAACTATTTATTGTAGATAAAAAACGTAAATGACAATTTTGTAGGGAATTTTGTGCCCTACAAATTTGTTAAGAAATATTTTTCTGTATCACTTATAGTTTAGCTTGTACAGCCACCCAAAGTGTCAAATTCTTAAAAATTCAGTTTCTGACTGTAATAACTATACTATTAGAGTTACGTGAAAGAGTGGCTGTACAAGCTAAACTACACTGAAAGAAATTTGTTGCTAAAAGTAAATACAAATTTATACTAAAAATTTTATACTAGTGCTTTACACATTTATACTACTGTTTATTATGAATGTATGTTAAATTTTGTAATACATTTATTGTAAAGAAGATATGTTAGATCTAAATAAAAATAAACTTACCCTTACTATAAAATGTAAACTATAAGTGAATTACAGCAAAAAAATATTGCTAGAAACACATTTATATTGCTAGGGCAGCAATAGGCTGCTAACCAAACGAATATATTTGTTTTAGCAATGTATGTGGTAGTCTATATATGAAACATAAAATATATTTGCCCTAATTATTTTTTTATTTAACTTTAGTATATATTTCTTTCAGTGTATAAGTGATACAGAAAAATATTTTTTGACAAATTTGTAGAGCACAATAATCCCTACAAAATTGTTATTTACGTTTTTTATCTACAATCAATACTTTAGTCTCCAAATACGATTTACTGCTATTGTAGATTTTCGAGTAGAACAGCAATTTGTGAAGAACATATTCAACTTACAGACTTGCTTAAATAGACATTTTTGAAGATAATTTCATCATGTATAAAGATTTTAGAACCGAAATTCGAAAAAAATATTCTTACTGTGCGAGCGGAGGGAGAAAAGAATAAAACATTGTTTTTTAATGGTTTTTAAAGGGAAATATTTAAAAATTGAATAGCAACGGCTTAAAATAAAGATTAAGAGCTTTGTAATAGCTCAAAATTTTTGTTTTCTGACCGGTTATAAGATTTTCAGGTGGGACATTGAAAAAAAAATGTCGCTCTAAAATGAAGCACCCTAATGTACACAAACCAAACTTATTTCTCAACTGTTTTATTTTGATGAATTGAAATAAACTTTGCTTACCATTATTGTAAACATTGCTTCTGTGTTGTTATAAGCCTCATTACAACACAAAAACAATGTTTATAAATACTTTTCTTTTACAATAACCAAATACAACACCTCTGAATACCTACCATTTCTCTGCTAAAAGTCTTATTAACTCTTTCAGAAGACTCCCAAATATTGCTATAAGTCTGACTTACTAAGACTTATTCTGACTTTTATTTAGAGTTTTTAAGAGAAAGTAAGACTTTCAAAACTCATATTTTTACTTTTAAAAGCAGCTATTGGTTTTTTCACACCAACATGAAAATTTCGTACGTTTAAAATTAAATGTCCGACTATATGAGTACATTAGATGCAAAACTCTGTATTTGCAGGATAAGTGATTTTAAGAAACATGAAAAACCGATCATAAGATTATTTTTGAAAAAAAAAATGCAAAAATTGTATAGACGTGCTTCTGAATCATTTCTTATTCAAAAAACTAAAAAAAATCCTTTAAAATTAAGTAGTTTGGTAAATAATTGAAATCAAAAGATTCAAAAACATAGTTTTGAATCTTCCTCATTCAAAGAAAGTGAAAAGTGCAAATACCAAAAAAAAGTTTCGCTTATTATAATCTTTAATAACAATAAATTAACATAATTAAACTTAAATTCTAAATGGAATTTCGGGCATTTCATTTACATTCTTAGTATCACTTGAGTGGTACATTTTCTGATTTAGATTTTAGTGAGCCATAAAATGCTTTAGCTTTTAAAATGTGCGCTCTTTGTTCAGTCATTATCTTAATTTTTTCTTCCTCAGAATTATTTTGTTTTAACAATTCTTTCAGTTAATGGTTTACCAAAAGACAAATTGTAATTTTTTTTTAAATATGTCCTGAAGTAAGACAATTTGACATCAGAATCTGGATTTTGCCCAAGATATAACTTAAATAATTTTTTGTAGGTAGGTTTTCGACTATAATGACTCTTTGCGCAAGTTAAGCTTTCAATAAACTGCTTAATTGAGTGTTTAGCAGCATCATTTTTTCCCAAAGTTCTATCGCCTCCTCTTTTTTCTTCGGGAATTTGACCAGATCGTATAAAATTGGCTACAATTCTTTCAATCCTATCTCCGCTAAAATGAGTTATACCTAAGAAAGCCTTTTTGCATACTCGTATTAAATCGCCTTCCGCTGTAGGAATTTTGTATTTAATGGAAATTCTCTGGGAATTTATGGAGGATCTCTTAGGTGATGCTCCCTCGCAGAATTTTAAAATAAAAATATCCTGTTTGATCTTATCGGTTGTAGAGTAAAGCATACTGTGAAATTGCTGAATATCTCTTATTCTTAGCAATTTACATGAAAAAACATTTTTATCATGATTGCAATTTGGAAATCTTGGCAAATCTTTTGGTTTATGTCTAAAAAAACAATATAAAAAAGGTTGCGAGCAAAAAATATAGAAAAATGTCTTACCTTAAAGTTTGTTTCTTCACTCTTTTCCAGGTTTCAGTTTGGCGGGACCTCTTTCTACCATTACCTTTCGGACAAGTTGTAACAATAACATTTAATTCCATGTTAAATACGAGGTGTGTTCAGAAAATATCGGGAATTTTCGTTTTTTGAAACAAATATTTATTTATTCGTCTACATTAATGTTGTCGCCTTCAAAATAGTCCTCATTGGATATTATGTACATGTGCCAGCTCTTCTTCCAATACTCGAAACACTTCTAAAACTCGATCTTTGGGATAGCCTTTAGTTCTTTCAGCGATGCGCTTTTAATGTCATCTATGCTTGCAAAACGACGGCCCTTTAAGGTTCTCTTTATTTTTGGGAATAGGAAAAAGTCAGACAGAGGCATGTCTGGCGAATATGGAGGCCGAGGCATTATTAC